ACAAAAGCAGGCCCATTATTTATTGCTGACAAAAGCTGACAATGCTGACAAAAGCTGGCGCATAATTTATTCAAATGACTATTAACCTCAGGACATTCATGAAGACCTTGATTTAGAGCGTACTGGTAGTCCATCTTGGTGAGGTGTTCGCCGATACGCTGTGTTAGTCAATAAGTGTTTCTCAGTAACGCTTACTGTAGCCATGTGATTGCGATTTTGCTTGGTCTTTTTTAGTCTTGATTGCGCATTCTAATATTTTAATAAATACTATCAAAGACAAACAAGTTGCGAGGAGTAGCAGTATCGCGACGGCCTTGCCATCTGATATGCGTCTAGAGGTTGCGAATTCGAATCTGACTGGAATATCTTTTTCTTCTTTTTTTGCCACAGTGCTTCTGTTTAGACATTACGGTCTGTGCGCGAGGAAAATTGTCCAAAACAGTTGAACAACTTAATTTTAGCTTGAGTTGTTCCTTTTTTTTCGCTAGGAACCCTTCTACTCCCTTCGGAGAGAGTCGTCCTATTCTGCTCCAGGCAGCGTTATGTCACTCTCTCGAAGTGGAATACTCGGACTCTTTCTGGGGAAATCACTATGCTCTGCCCTAAAATGAGGTGATTTACTCTGGAAATAAATGTGAAATATGGGACAAGAAAATACTCTTCCGAAAAGTCTTAGTTCCTGAGTGTAGACATGGGTCGTGCACCTTGGATGGTAGCTTCATAAAGAAGTAAAACGCGGTCTAAAAAACGTAGCAATGACAACGAGTCATGGCGTCAACCCCTACCATTTATTTTAATATACAGCAGTTTCAGGGTTGCTAACAACTTTAATAATGATAATTGCTGGGGCTTAGCATGCCCAAACTGCCTAATTCTTATAAGAAACGCCGTAGTGGAGGGCTCCGGAAATTTCGAACACCTGAGGTTCTTCAACGTGCACCATAGTATAAGCACACGGACCTCAAGCATTTTCGCTTCCAACGAAAATGCGGCTGCCGCGGCCGGGATTCGATCCCGCAACCTGCTGGTCAGCAACCGAGTGTTTTAGCCACTCGGCTGCTGCTGGGTCAAGAACAACTGTATTAAAAACTCCGGCAAACTCCTAAGTTCAGTGCAACCAAAATATTACGGACAAAGAGAACTCGAGACAAAAGCTTCTCCATTACTAGGAGCAGCTCTATTACAATGTAAACGATACTGCACGTGCGAAAGGTATCACATTTTGTTCTAAGGCTAGCTGCTGTTTGCAAAGAATACGCTTTTTCTGGGCATTCGTTTTACATTGGATGCGTGAGAATTGTCAAGTTAGTAATTTAACGAGCTCCGTACTCGGATGTAGTCCGAGGAGTGACTAGAAGTGAATCGTCTCAACAATCAACTGAGTATTCGTGGCATATGCGCCCTTCAGAAGGTTTAGTAAAGTGTGATATGTTTTTCACTTATTAGACACTCTTCACTGTAGCAGCCATGTGTAGACTGAGAAAGAATGTTCATTTATTTATTTAAAGATACCTTACAGGCCTCTGTTGAGGCATAGTGTAAGGAGGGAAGTACAAAAGGTGCAATTTAAATATCGTTCACAAAATATAAATACGTGAAGATCGTTCATGAACCAAATGACAAAGCGCAGTGCATGCAATATATAGCATTTACGGCAGTACTGGTAAAAAAATCACAACACTAGCTAAGATAAAACATGTAACAGGGAAACAATCACAGGAGACATTATCTCTAAACTAATGTAGTCCAGCAAACTTCCAATTTTATACAACGAATCGGCTGATATGTGAAGAAAAATAGAAAAAAAACGCTAACGGTGTTTAAAATGATGAGTTAAAAAAGAAGAAACAAGGATTACAATGGCATAAAGGGCGTACGGCTATAACGGCAGATTTCTTTGCGCTGTCTTGACCAAATAACTGGTCAACGCGTCGCCGATTCTATTAGTGTTTTCTAGACATGCGATGCCACATGGCAGGGAGTTCCAACACCACACAGCTTGGGGAAGTACTGACCAATCGAATCCACGTGTTTATTCGTAAATGCGCGAAAAGCTAAGATGATTGTGAAGCCTGTGTGACGGAGAGTGGGATCGTGTCAAGCATGCCAGTGTCACCAATGCAATTTCACGGCAAGCACTCAAAGGTAGCACCTAAAGGTCAAGCTTTATTTGCGTGACAATAGCGTGATACTCGTAATCGTTAGAAATGAAGTGGCTTGCCCTATTCTGAACTCGTTCTAATATATCGAATTTTCATATTACAAAAATATCTCGATGCTTATCGACAAATTAGTAGTTGCTCATTTCTGCAATGTTTCTCGGCCATACTTGTTTTACGAAAATCATTGCTGCATGTTTTATTTAGCATGTGGAGTAGTAAAACAGTATAAATAAATACTAAAAAATAATTACTACTCGATGCATGCTTTTCGATATCTGCATTTGATAACACTTTGGATTGTCGAGAATGCCTTCCTAGTCCCGTGCCACAAAATATATGACGAGACTGCAATACAAATGGAATCAAGTACGCACTGTAGTTCTAGCCTGTACGGTTTCTATACATAATAGCTTTTCGTCTAACAGCACTACTACTACTACTACTACTGCTACTACTACTACTACTACTACTACTACTACTACTACTACTATAATAATAATAATAATAATAATAATGTTATTATTATTATTATTATTATTATTATTATTATTATTATTATTATTATTATTATTATTATTATTATTATTATTATTATTATTATTATTATTATTATTACGACTTATACAGTGCCCATTTATCTCAAATATTAGGTATCAGTCAATCAGTAGTGTAAAGTACACTGCGAAAGCGTAATTCCGCTACTTTTTCTCTGTAGCGACAGAAATTGGCAGTCTGAGTAACGTTGGTCTGAGAATCCCAATGACATGTCCATTGCCACTTGAGAATACATTTCAGGCACTTGCTAACGCCTCTAGAGCTCAAATTCTTCATAAGTTGATCCACCTAGAGCACATCACGTACTTCCAGATGCATCTAGAGATGGCGGTCGCTTCGGCGTAAGCACACCCTCGTTGTTCCATACAAACCTAGTGGTAAAAGTTTCTCTGGAGCAACGGTTGCGTTGATGGAAATAGAATCCTGTGAGGATTTTTCTTTGTGCCTGTGGCTTTTAATGTTATATGTTCCAAAGAAACGACATGATAAAGAGGCAACTGCTAGTGCTGGATGGTCAGCCACCTGTATGAAAGACATGTTGAAGTAACAATACCCTTGTCCGTCCCATAATTCTACCACGACAAAACAGAGCCACCGTGTCCTGCACCCTCGGCAATCTTGGCAGTTGCATGCACTGCACTCTGAAAAGTTTATACCCTCACAAATGTCGCTTTGAGTATGTGAAGGCCATTTACACAACGTTGAATACGACTTAGACGTCAAGGTGGTAGTGATTCGTGGCGAATATAAAAAAGAAGCGCCACAAAATTGGGTAGAAGAATGACTTGGACACGTCGCGAGTTCTGACAATAAGTCCCAAAAATTCACTTGCAAGGAGAGTAAAAATGCGCCTAACCAAGCGTAATGTCCCTACAAGGCAATAAAACCACGATTAATTGTAAGCATTCGTTGTTGCATAAAGACGTACAAGACAACTCCTCCTAAAGCTAGGTTATCAGCAGTTTCTACGGTTTCAGGAGGAAATTTCTTCAACGCAGACAGCAACTGAAGCGTTTGCGCCATGTTTTAAGTCACGCTTCTTCACGATCTTGATAGCATTGTTTGCTCATATTTGCTGTAATTTCACACAGCGTTTTCTTCATAGGCCATTATTCGCAGGTGGACCCATTTTCATGTTCCCTATGATACACTTGTATGGTCTGTTATGTGACTCTACACGACCAAAATAAATGCCCACTATCTTCCTCAAAAACTGAGTATTACTGGCTGTGAACCAAGACATCCCGTCTGAAGAGGAGAGAAGGGCGAGCGTGTATTTTCGGGAGCTGTCTTTTCGTCTGATGTAAACCATGTAGGAATTTTCTACCTGAAACCGTAGGTAAATGTCAACCGAGAATCTACATGCTACAAGCAGGTGCATTTCATTAAATGGCCGTTACAGCACAAAAGTAGCAAGATGGCAAGTTGAGCCAGATGGTGGTTGATTATTTGAAATAGACGAGTCCCGACAAGGGACCTGTTTTACAAGCCTGATGGTTTCAGACACTTAGTCATCCCGGTAAAAGATGACTTCAGAAAATGATTAATTTTCAGGTGCATCGCCGTGGCTCCGACGTGCTCCTATAAGGCACTAACTGTCCTGTCCGATTCCTCTAGCCTGTTTTTTTTTTTTTTTCTCGGCGGGCATCAATCAAATTTTCAAACAATAAAGTATTCCGATATCGAACACATCTTCCGCCTATACATTGCACTTTTAGCAATTTTATGCGAGCGCTTTCCATTTCCCGTTGACTGCCTTTGACCAAGTTCATTCGAAAGATGTTTAGCTTATACAAAGGGAGATTAGCCCCGCAGAAAACTTAGCATTCAAGTAAACAGACGATTGACCATCAGCAAACCGATGGACATAATTACCACACGTAAATATATGCCGTATGAGTTAGGAGGTTTTCAGAAAGCAACTCCATTCCGCCGATCACAATCAACAACTGTACCAGGCCTGGCCGACCACCCGACTGGCTTCGTGGCCACACTAGCGTTCTCTACTAGACTTAATACATAAAGAAGACTTGTATGTGTATTTTTGAAAAATTATTTTGCCTAGGGGCAGATTTCTAAATAAATAAAAAAACTGCTTGAAAAGGAATTCGGTGTTTTTCTCTCAGTGTGTGAATACAGTTTAGAGCATTTTACTATTTTACTGTTTATTAATTAATGCAATCAGAGCAAAATGTTTGGGCGAATATTGTTTGACACAAGCAACAAGTACTCGAGTTCGTACTAGTACTTAGCCATATTTCAACAAGAAAGATGCCACCTTACTCGAAAGGGTTGCAAGGCACAGGGCGTTGACGGCGGCGAGGAACGGTTCACTCACCGCTGTGAACAGCCGGCCGCTGCTTCTTTACCGCCGCCGCACGCCGACACGAGGCGCGCCCAGTCACTCACTGGAGCAGCACGCACGCAGCCGTCACCGCCTATGTGCGCCGACACAACAACAGCGGGTGGTTTCGGCGCCACGCATGCTACCACGGCGTTCCGCAAAGCAACGCATCACAGCGCACGCCACACACACTGATTCGCACCCGCGCGCCAAAGCGAAGATGCGGTTACTGGAAAGGGCGAAGGCGTTTGAAGCTCAACAGACCTAAAGTAATATTAAAATGTCCGGCCAAGCGCTCCCTAGCGGTGCCCCGCCGAAGTGAGCTTGGTTGTCAGTGTCCGCTATGCTCACTAGGCGGCGCACTTTACAACTCGCATTGTTCCCGTTGACTGCCTTTGACCAAGTTCATTCGAAAGATGTTTAGCTTATACAAAGGGAGATTAGCCCCGCAGAAAACTTAGCATTCAAGTAAACAGACGATTGACCATCAGCAAACCGATGGACATAAATTACATAAAAGAACTATCGGTTAAGAAAAAAGTGAAGGAAACGGAGACTGACATGTGGAGAATGGGCATGATTAAGAAGTCCGCACTAGAGATCTATCGAACTTTTAAGCAGGAAATTGCCAAGGAAAGGATCTATGATAATACTCGGGGTAGTTCTCTACTGTTTGAGGCCAGGACGGGAGTACTGCGAACCGTGGTTCTGCGTGGTTCAAGAGGAATTGTGGGGAATACTGGACACAGTAGGCGTGGAACATGTAGTCACTAATCTTTTAAAGGGTATCTGTAAAGGTAACAAGGTACTTATAAAGTGGGAAAAACAGGTATCCAAGCCTGCAGAGGTAAAACGGGGGCTTAGGCAGGGGTGCCCCCTGTAACCCTTATTATTCATGACGTACCTACAAGGATTAGAGGCAAAATTAGAGGGAAGTGGACTGGGCTTCAAGCTCTCTTTAGTCAAACAAGGAAAACTTATTGACCAGGCACTACCAGCATTAATGTACGCAGATGATATAGTGCTAATGGCCAACAACAAGGAAGATTTGCAGAGATTGATGGACATCTGCGGTAATGAGGGAGATAGGTTAGATTTCAGATTCAGTAAGGAAAAATCAGCAGTCATGATTTTCAATCATAACGAAGGTAGTGAGCTTAGAATACAGGAGGTCACGCTAGAGATAACAGATAAATACAAATATCTGGGCGTATGGATAAGCAATGGGACCGAGTACATGAGGGAACACGAAATATACCTGACGACTAAAGGTAACAGGGATGCAGCAGTGATCAAAAATATGGCACTGTGGAATTACAATAGGTAGGATGTTGTGAGAGGAATATGGAAAGGGGTCATGGTTCCTGGGCTGACGTTCGGCAATGCGGTCTTGTGCATGAGATCAGAAGTTCAAGGAAGATTACAAATTAAGCAACGTGGAATAGGTAGGCTTGCTTTAGGAGCTCACGGGAATACACCAAATCAGGGAGTACAAGGTGATATGGGATGTACATCCTTTGAGGGCAGGGAAGCTAGCAGCAGGATAAAATTTGAGAAGCTATTGAGAGAAATGGGGGACGAGCGTTGGGCTAGGAAGGTTTTCAGCTACTTGTACATGAAGAATGTCGATACACAAGGGAGGAAGCGAACCAGGAAATTGACCGGTAAATACTTAGAAAACAGCAGGTGGCCAAACCAAAAAAGAACTATCGGTTAAGAAGAAAGTGAAGGAAACTGAGACTGACATGTAGAGAATGGGCATGATTAAGAAGTCCGCACTAGAGACCTATCGAACCTTTAAGCAGGAAATTGCCAAGGAAAGGATCTATGATAATACTCGGGGTAGTTCTCTACTGTTTGAGGCCAGGACGGGAGTACTGCGAACCAAGACATATCGGGCCACAGTATGCAGTGCGTGTGGAGAGGAAGAAGAAACTGCCGAACACTTGATAATGTTCTGTAAAGGGCTTCACCCTATAGTTCAGGATGATGGCGCTGAGTTTTTCAAAGCACTGGGGTTTAGGGACCGGGAGGGCAGAATAGACTTTAAGCGGGTAGACTTAACTAGAAGAAGGTTATCTGATTGGTGGCTAAAGTCAAGGCACGAGTAAAAATTAAACCCTTCACTGCAAAGTACGAATCCTCTAACTCACTTTTTGAAGGAAAAAATAAATCTAGTTTTTGGTTCATTAAGTATTACGGCTTGGTGGCGCTAGCCACCGCCCAATCTAAAGGGTACAGCCACATCCATCCATCCATCCATCCATCCATCCATCCATCCATCCATTGTAGTTTAGGTTGATGGCGCAGAGTTCTTCAAAGCACTGGGGTTTAGGGACAGTGAGGGCACAATAGACTTTAATCACGTAGAATTAACTAGAAGGAGGTTATCTGATTGGTGGCTAAAGTCAAGGCACGAGTGAAAATTCAACCCTTCGCTGCAAAGTACAAATCATCAACCTCACTATTTAAGGGGGAAAAAATGAATCTAGTTTTTGGTTCATTAAGTATTACGGCTTGGTGGCACTAGCCACCGCCCAATCTAAAGGGTACAGCCATATTCATCCATCCATCCATCCATTTACAACTCGTATTTCACAACTCCCATTTTTACCAATAGGCGGAAGTGGGGAGAGATAGAAGAACTGCCAAAGGAGAAGAAGCTGATGGTATATAAGTTTGTAGAAATACATCTTAGGAACATGGTACAACCACCTAGCAATCCCGACTACGCATTGTAATATTGGGATAGAACAGATGGAAACAGAAAGTGAGGAGGTTTTGGGGCATTCATACATAAAAGTACTGACTGGCGAAGGGTCAAACAGAAGTGCAACGAAGATTTATGGCTAAAAGGGGGCAAATGACGCTCCTGGGTTTTGTGCACTTGTGGACAGGGGCAAAGAGAGGTTTTCGAGAGAGGAAAACCAAGAAATGGCACAGTTCATAAAAAATGATATTGACAAATTAGGAGAAGAGTACGAGGTAATTATATTAGGACATATCAATGCGCGCATAAAAAATATGGATGGATATACCGACTCAACTGGCTGAATGCTAATGATTATGTCTGAAAAGCATGATTTAATCATTTGCAACATTACCGAGAAATGCGGAGGGCAGATAACATGGGGGTGTGGGGGTGGAAAGGCTGCAGTCGACGATAGATAACACAATGATGTCACATAGGATGCATGGTCGGCTAAGGGTGATGAACATAGATGAATATGGGTCCAGAAGCTTAGATAGTCATCACAAACGTATCAAGCTGAGTTTCGGAAGAGAAATGAAATTGGAAAGGAGGCATTATGAGCAACCACACGGTAATATTTTTCAGAAAGGCAAATAGAAATAGCAACTAAAGAGATTCAAAAATAATCAACGAGAATACTAAAACAGAGTGGACGGACACAAATCTAGCTCGATTGTTTTACTTAGAGCTTGCTAAGGTACGAGTCAAATCAACTGGTAAAGGAGACACAAACCCAAGAGCTGGTGGGATGAGCAAATTAGGAAAGCCCTAGTAAGACTTCAGGAAGCCTTCAGCGAACACAGGTATGTTAAACAGAGGAGTGAACCGGAAGATGATGTCAACAGAAAATTGGATAACATTTTGAGCTGCAGAAGAACGCGTGCGATCTGACCAGTGAAAAGATTGGAACAAAGGAGTCCAATGAAAGGCGGAAGTAAACAAAGGGAATAGAAAGGCAGCTGCAAAATTTTGAAACTATCTCAATTCTTTGAGTAATAAGACAAGCACGGAACAGAGGTTTATACCTACAGTTCAAGGAGTTAGACTAGAATGGGATGAGGAAATGGAATATATAAAAACAATGATGAGAGAAAAATTTCAAGATCAAGAAAGCGCTGCATGCAACGTACCAGAAGAGGATGAACCACTTAGGGCAGTGGCTCCACTGGGACAATTAACGAGAGTGGGAAAGGGCAGAGAAAGGGGTTCCTAATAGCACATCAAAGGACCCTGACGGCGTCCCAATCATTCTATTAAAGAAACTAGGACCAAACTCTAAGCAAACCGTGAGAGAGGCAGCGAGCAAAGCAAGAGTGGATGGTGAAGCTCCCAATGGGTGGAAACTAAGCAGGACGAGCATGATCTACAAAGGAAAGGGGGACAAAGCCGATATAAACAACTACCGTCCTATACCAGTGACATTAGTAGTTCACAGGCCGGTGATGGAGATAGTAAAGAAAACACTACAGACATGGGTGGAGGATAAGGGGGTGCTGGGTGAACTACAAAATAGGTTCGGTAAACTAATGAGGTTGGAGGACAATCTGTTTTCATTGATGCAGTGTATTGAAATAGCGGAAAAAGAACACAGGCCCCTGTGCCTGGCATTTCTAGATATCAAGGGAGGTGATGATAGTGTGATTCAAGAGCACTTGTGTGGAATACTGGACAAACTAGATGTGGAAGATCGAATAACTAATCTTGTAAAGGATATCTATAAAAGTAACAAGATAGTTATAAAATGGGAAGAACAGGTATCTGAACCTACAGAAATTCAACGCGAGCTTCGACAGGGATGCCTCTTGTCCCCTTTGGTATTTATGCTGTATCTCCATGGAATAGAGGCCAAATTAGAGGGGAGTCGACTCGGCTGCAGCCTCTCTTTTGCCAAGTAACGAAAAACACATTGAGCAGCGCAAGCACTGATGCACAAGCACAAGCACTGATGTATGCAGATGATATAGTATTAATAGCCGACAACAAGGAAGATCTGCAGGGATTGATAGACATCTGTGATTAATGAGGGAGATAGGTTAAATTTGAAGTTCAGCAAGGGAAAAATCGGCAATGATAATTTTTAACGATAACAAAGGCTGCGAGTATAGGGCGCTAGCGCGGATGGTTGCCTCCAGCAGTGGGTCTGCCGTAGACGGCACCTCGGGCCGTCTGCGGTGGGCCCACGTGGTGAGTCAGGCATCAGCGACACCGCCTTGTTTGTCATGTTGTTCAGTGTTGTTTAATAATGTGTAAGGATCTCTTGGCGTGTTGATAACGATTGATGTTATAATTATTCAGCTGATGATATCGTCGTTCAAAAGTAGCTAAATAAATGTATATGTATTGTTGTTTGGTTTGTTCCAACCGTGTCTGCTGTGTCCGTTCACTCCAACAGCCCGGCTCTCTTCATTTCGAGACCCCACAATATGTACTCCTTTCATACAGCCTCCACGCCGGGTTAACGTCAATTGTGGTTAGTTACC